AAAATCATCAAATTAACCAGTCAACGGCAGGCAGACTGCAATGCCAGAGCGCATTTATAGTTCGCAAAATGAGCAAAACAAACAAATTCACATGGACAGAGAGATGGAGTTGGAGACGGAGACGGAGACGGAGTCGGAGACAGAGGCATTCCCCGCCCTAGAAGGGCAGCTTGTTTAAGCTGCAGACGGCAAACTGGCTCCGGAATACGACGGCAGCGATAAGAGAGTCTGGTCGGAACTGGGACTGGACTGGGCAGCGCATACAGCGTGCTGGGTGCAGGCCAATGTATTGTCGGGGTCACCACCGTTCCTTGTTTTGTATTTCAATTTATATATTTCAGTGCTTGTCAAAGTGAAGTACGAAGGACAGCAAACCAAGACGTTTTGCTGCTTGATACCCTTCAAAACTGCTTGCTCTAACTTCAGTTACAGTTACAGCTACAGCTACAGGCTCAAGCAGTTCAAGCAGAGGAAACAGCAAAATGGTGAGCTAAATGCTGTTAAAGCAAGCAGTTCAACGGTAGCAGAAACAGCAGCTGCGAGGCAAGCAGTGGATTAACAACGAATGCAATAAGTATTCGGAAAGTAAACAAATCAAGAAATCTCTCTGTTCGCTGCATCAACCAACAAAGGGATCATCAACAATGTGTCGCCACAACTAAATCAGCAAGAAAGCATCGGTCAAGCAGCTTTCATCTGCAGTGCCTCCATTTACTGCCTCCTCGCGCGAGCAAGCAGTGCACCACTCCACTGCTTGTGGCTCTGATGCACCATTATGGCGTCTGTGATAAGGCCATCGCCGATGGGGCTCCTTTCAGTTTCAGTTTCGCTGCTGCTGCTGCTGCTGCTGCTGCAGCGCATTCAATTTTTCATGCCACGCCAGGCTGTTGCTGCAGACGCAGACACATACAAAGTGCATGCTGTATATGTATGAATGTTTGTATTTGTGGGTGTATTTTTATTACAGACCCCAGTCCGACGAGCCGGCCCCAGCCGCCGATGCGTCTCAGTGGAATCTCATGGCAGGCAGGAGCAGCACCCAGGACCGGCCTGCACTCGTTTGTTGTCTATTTTCGATCATTTGTTTATATGTAAACGCACACATTTACACACAGCCCGCTGTGTACGTATTTGTGTATTTAAATACATATACTTTACGCCTTTGCGACCAACAGGAGGATATGGCAGGGACGCCGAAAGCGGTGGACAGCCGCGCGGTAGTAGCGCAGGCGGGCTTCGGAAATTTTTGAATAATTTGCAGCCATAAAATATGCAATAAGCCAACAGCCAACAGCTGTTGCAAAATTGTTTTGAAAGCCGCGCCATCACATTATTTAAAGCGACGACGCCCGCTCCACTCTACAGACGCGTTCAGTTTTCGCCTTTGCCTTGGCAGAGGCAGAGACAGAGACAGAGACCGAGTAGCGTGGAGTCGGCATCGGAGCAGGGCCACTGGCAGCGCCAGAGAGAGAGAAAGAGAATCGAATTAAATGTTGTTAAAGGATTTAAAGTGCGAAAAATAGTTGCCACACGGAAGAGCAGGCAGACAGCGCAGCACGAGACGACAATTCAGCATTCAGCACCCACAACCGCCTCCCGCACCTCAAAGGAAACTCCAATGGCATTTGCATGCAGCCAAATGGGGAGTTGAGTGGAAGATATAAGGCCAAGAAAGCCCCAAAGTCAAACTCGAGCTCAGCTGCGTTGCGGCTCAAAATGATTCTCAGCTGCGCTTGGACAAGCAGTGTGCAGTGTGCAGTGTGTATTGCACAAGCAGTGCAGCAGCAAGCAGTTCAACAATCTGAATCTTCGCAATTGGTTATTTCTCTTATTTGTAACTTGGCTCAAATATGAATTCATTTATTAATTCAATGATTTTCCTTACAACAGCCGCCAAAAGGGAACACTTGGAACACAAAAATCACAAACATAATAGATCTTCGCAAGCAGTTTGCCCAACCCAATAGTTTCGGGCTCTTCAAATATTTCCACTCAAAATCTCTTTAAGACCCCGCCCATAAAGACAGCTCCAACAGGCAGGCAGGCAGGCAGGCAGGCAGGCAGTTGAGGCAACGAGCTCTGCCTGGCAATTCATTTTCGGAACATTAATGGCTGTACAGGGTGCTGCAGGATGGGTTGTGGAATGGTGGACATTGGTCATTCAGGGCAATTAAAAAAGGCCAAGCAAAACAATTAGTAAATAACGATAATCTGCGTGAGGAGAGGCGAGAGGCGAGTGCAGGAGTAGGAGCAGGAGCAGTCGCTGGACATGTCCGATGCACAGTGTAATTGCCCAAGCATAGGACCAAGCCCAGCCACACAGTGCAACCAACGAAAATAAAAGATACACAAAAATTGAAAAGGGGAAAAACTGTCCACTTCATTTCCACGAGTGAGCGCACACACAGTGCACTCTGCCTTCACCGTGCACCATCCGCCGTCCGTCCTCCTCTCCGCTGGACATCTAACGCACATAATTGTTTCTATGCCTGGCTACCAATGCTAGCCCTGTTTGTGCTCCTAGTACGCGTGGCGTGGTGCTGGCACCAGCCGGCCAACGATGCCAATTACAGAAAACAATTACAACACACAGTCTGCACGGTTAACCGGTCCAGGCCACATATGCGGGCAGGCACAGGGTCCTGGGTGGGGAAACGGGGGGGATTGGGGGGAGATGCGCGTGCCGCTCACATTAAATTGTCATAAAGATGGAAAACCCGAAATTTGCGGCTCAACTAACTTCCAGCAGCTAACTTTCATTCACTTGGCTGAACTACAGTGCTCGTCGATGGAGTGGACATCACGACAATGTCAAGGCCGAAATTACTTTCGGCTGGAGAGGGACAAGATTCGTAATCCATTAGATTCCATCTAAGATCCATAATCCATGACTATGGATAAGGATATCGAGGCCACGCAGGATATGGCTGACATCGACACGAAGCATGTGCTGCAGCAGATGAAGCATTTGAAGTTCGAGAACCGGAGGCGGTGGGCGCCTGCAGTTGCGCCAAATGGAGACCCACTTCAACGAGAAACTGCTGTGGGTGCTCTCCTGCCCAGCTCCATGATCCGACACTCCGACACTGATTCTGCGCAACGATTCGCTTGTGGCCGCGCGGCAGACCCTCAAGCAGCGCTTCAACGACGTCGTTGTGGAGCTACAGCAGAGGACCGGCCTGAAGAATGTCCTCCTCCTGATACGCGACGACAAGAAGCGTAGCATCATGCTGCACGAGACTATTGCCACGCCTGGCCTGGACGAGAAGAACAAGATCATTATGGGTCGGCGCTATGAGGTGGCCAAGGCCCGCAAGGCCCACGACGATCTCCTGGAGACATATGAGTCATATGAGTCCGAAAACCTGGGCTTCACACCACTCCGGGATCGAGACGATAAACAGCTCTACAAATGCGGTGCAACGGGCATCGTTACGGCGAACAAATAGAACGAAAAACGGGAGAAACAGACACGACATGCCAGTTTGTTGCATTCAGAATTCAGAATTTATTTAACTTTAGCCTAGATTAGTGTATAAGAAGTATGTATGTATATGTATGTGTATATGCTTATAAAAAACATTCTGGAATTGAAGGAGTTGAACACATCCAGAATTCGCTTACAATGCTAACACTATTTCGATTTCGATTAATGTCGCACTAGATGCATATTGAGATATATAGGGGGAAAAACGAAAGATGCATACATTAGAGATTGGATCGAGCCAAGTATTGCTATCGTTCGGGGATTATCAGTTGCCCCTTCCTGGTTGTGGTTGTGTGCTAACCAAATACTCAATTGAACATGCTTAAAATAACATTCGGATTCGGGTTTGGGTTTGGGTTTGGGTTTGGGTTCAGGCTCGGATGCGGGTTCTTAAGTAACTCTTTAATGGAAATGATAAACTTTTCTCTGAACATTTGTTTGCTCTCTGCTTTGGTCTAATTTTAACTATATATCTTGCTCTGCTCTGTTATGGATACGTTTCTTTAGTTTTGTTTTTTGCTTAGTTTTTGTTCAATTGATTTATTTTTGAAATAGATATCACACGATGTTTTGCTCGTCTTCTTGCTCTTCTTACTACGGATTCAATTCGAGTTCAGTTTCAGTTTCAGTTTCGTTTTAGTTTCAGTTTCAGTTTCAGTATCAGTTTTTGATTTGATTTCATCAAAATCAATAATTTCGCTTTCGTCTTCGCTTAATTAAATGTAATTCAGAATTCATTTTATTATTCTCATCAACGGTTCAACTTTTTCTCTGACATTGGTTTTTGTGTGGAGCTAAGAGTCCCACCATACACTTAACAAATTATTTGTGGGATGGCAAAGGGTATTATTTATTTATGTGTAGAATAATAAAAGTAAAAGTAAATTTGGCCTCGGAGCTAAAGTAAGTAATAGTACAAAAATCTAAAAATGTAATTATAAAGTAGATAATACAAAAATTAAATCAAAATGCAATCCAATTTGCATTTCAGACGCTACGCCGAAAATTAGATGTTAAATTCGTCATGTACTGTAGGAACTATCGAACAAAAAACTGATTCAGATTGTATCTTATTTTCACATAAAATTTATACTCATGTATCTGATATCAGATTCATCGTTTCAGAACGTGATCCCCATTTAAAATAGTTTAAAAAATGATCATAGCAAGGATTTCTCTTTGGGCGGTGTAAATTCTCTTTGTAAGAGTTTACAAATTGTCCTTACAGGTAAGATTCTTGGTAAAAGAGTTTTGAACAAAACATACAAGAAAAGAAAAACTATGTCTATCAAGACTGATTCGAAATCAATATTCAATATCATTTCAAAATTATGTAAGATCTATGAGTGTTTGTCTTCGGGTCTTCGGATATACTATACTTTCATCTATCTAATTCGCGTGTGCTTGGGGGAGACAAGCCAGGCAGCGCGGGTTAATTGAATACAATGTGTTGGGTTTGCTTGAGTTGTGTGCCGTTTTGTTTGGTGTAATTCAATTTGTCTGCTTTTGTTTATCTTAGTTTCAGTGGCTGCTTTTGTTTTGTTGTAAAGGTACTTTTCGGTTACGTTACGCGTCCATCCTACTGCTTTTCTTCCATACTTTTCACGAGTTCACAAACTATACGGAATAACTTATATAACCTCTGGTTTTATATTCGTTTTTGTTTTTTGTTTTTGTTTTTGTTCTAGTTCTGAATGTTTTGTAGTTTTGTTTCGTTTCGTTTCGTGTAAAGCAAAAATTAAGGCGATCACAACGGTTTACTTCACAGATGCGTGTGGAAACATTTTGGTTAGAAATGTCCGTGGAAATATTTCCTATATTTTTTTGTTTTGCTTTTTTCATTGTTTGCTTAAATTTTCTTATCATCCAAATTAGTGTCTATGCTCTGTATACCAGTATAAGTTATTTAATTATAATTTCGCTTAGCAAATTTAGTTCATCGAATTGGTTGCGTTTTTCCTCTCCTTATTGTTCTCAGCTAGTTTGTTCGGCGATTTCGTAATATTTATAAACAATTCTAATGATTTCAGTGAGTATGTGGCTTGTGTGTGTTTTGTATGTGTGTATGGCACATTGGGAGTCTCTTCTTATCTTGTACGCGTCACGACTATTAAGCTAATGATTCATTAGACTCGACACGAGGGTATACATATGCATATATGTACATGTCTTTAACTGATATTCGTATTGCTTGCTTGGGCTTGGGCTTGGACTATATTATGCTAAGGCTAAGGTTTAGGTTTAGGTTTACATATGTGTTAATGATAATGATTAGTTTGAATTTCTTTAACTTTATCTAAATGCCATAATTTGTGTTTCAGTACGTTTCGCCGGCCGTATTCGTATTTAGAAAGTCTAAACTAAAAATGAAAGTTTAACTAACATTTTTTGTATGTAAGGCAATTTGTTGTTTCGGTATCAGTTGCAGTTGTTTTAATTATTTAATATTTTGTTACAGCTTCGGTTTTACATTTACGTTTTGGTATGTTTGTTCTTGTTTAACTTCTTTCCGCTCAGATGCTTTGGGATTTTGCTTAAATCCAAATTGAATTTAGATTCGAGTTCAGTTCGGTGGATTCAGTTTGATTTGAAAAAACTAAATCATTCGCCTGAAGCACTTGCAGCATTTAATCTGATACAGTTCAAATAGTGCGGCGGAGGCGGAGACGGAGGCGGAGGACTCGAATTTCAATTAAAACCGAGTACTCAATACAAGCGTTACAACACGAACAAAAACCTTTATGTGTGTTTCTGTTTATTGTGTGAATGTGTGTGTTATGACGTTTTATTAACGTTTAACTTAAAACTTTGTTGTAACGCTTGTAAATTCGTGAATGTGGGTGATTACGTGATCATTGTGGCTAATATCATTGTGGGTTGGCTCTGGCCAACAGATAGCGAAAGGGAGAGAGAGCAAAGAACGAGCGCTCCATCCCTTTCGCTTTTATGACGCTAGGGCAGGCAAGCCCCTAGCACTTCTCCCCGAATCGAGTGCCAACTAACGGAACTTTTCTGCTAAAAAGGCGTTAATAATTTGGGGCATCTGCTCGCTGATGCCGCACAACTCCAAAATATGTTCGCACGTGTCCACCGAGTAGCTCATTGACTTCTTCGACGCTAGTAAGCTTATAATGATAATCCTGCAACAAATAAGTAATCAAGTAAGTAAATTGCTCTCTTAGAAGGTGAGTCAGGAACTTACTTGGACTTAGGTTGTCGAGTTAGGCGATAGCCCGCTAGGAGAGAAGCTATTTTGGCTGACTTGTTATTAGGGTTTCCCCGTGTTGCTTTCGGCACAACTATCAGAAAAATGTCGTAGTCCTCGGGGTCCTCAGACGCATTGAGGAAAATTTGTGAAAAGTCCATTTTGGATTTCTGCACCTGTAAAACAATTATTGTTTAGCCTATGACAAGAACATGCGATGGACAGGCATTACTTCTAGCGTCTGGCAGCGACCGGTTGCCTCAATCAAAGTCATATTTTTCGTCCACTTTAAATCCTTAAGCTGGCCAGTGCGGTCGCACCAGTAGCTCACCTTGCTACCGTCTGGGTCGGTTTTAAAATACCCGAAGGCTATTGCGACCAGCGCATCCAAGTAATTGCTACTAGGATTTCGACCTTTCAGGTATTCTACAAAAAGGTTTCTTGTTAGTTGTATAATTGAAGTTGTAAGCATTCGATTAGAGCACTCACTGCGGATATAGATCTTGTCTATGCACACACTTATATTTAGACGCTTGCCCAACGCCTTGTTGTGTCCGAAAGACGCCTCATAGAGGTCACAAAAAACATTACGCTTTTTCGGGTGAGAGAGAGAGAGAGAGAGAGAGAGAGAGAGAGGGGTGAGTTTAATTTTGAGATGAACACAAATATGGTTGATATTGTTACCAGGCGACTGTTCGATTCCAAACGCAAAATTTTCATATAGATGTACAGCGGGGCTATGTTGGCCGCCTCCATCTTTGTTTTGTCGAACAACTGGTGCTCATAGTTGTCATACGCGTTCCTAGCCGCACGCCTGTAGCAGCGCAACACCCGCGGTGAGATTTTAAATATATGTTCATAGCTGAGCGTTGGGATCAGGTGTACGGCAAGCGTAGGATCAATACGGAATCTCTCGGGCACTTGATCATATGTTAATGAGAGCTCGTTCACTATAGTCACTGCGACCCGGGCGTTTGTGGTGCTACGGAGCTTAACAATGCCCTCAATTATTTTTTTACTGCCGATCAGGGGGTTGAGGAATCCAGGCCAAGTCACCAGGTTCTTGGTGGGGGTGGACAACAGCTGTAGGGTGGCCTTGTATTCGATTGTCATACGCTCCGGCTTGTAATGGACACGACGCAGCAGATTATTGTGCAAGGAGCAGATTTGCTCGCCCTTTGCCCACATACGGAGCAGCTCATCCAAAGATCTCTCTTTATACCACGCAATGACCGCCTTGCGGACGGTGCGACTGAATGGAGTCTTGTACATTTGAATTTTTTGCAATTTCTCTGCGAGCTCCATGAATATGAACAGTTCCGTGTCGGTGCGCACCAGTCGTGGAACGCAATTACGCATCAGGATCCTTTCCGTCGCATTGGTGCACGTCGAGAGAAAAACTGCCAGCACTAACAGCGCCTCATCGGGCCGTGGCAAGCACTCATCGTTGTTAATCAAAGCCTTTTCAAGGCAGTCAGCCAGCTGCTGTGCTTGCACCTGATCACATAGATCGCGCAGATCATTGTAAGTTGTTTCCGAAAAGCTCGTGCCAGAGCCCGTATAGACAGCTTGTTTGGTTTCCCTGATGTAGAAGAATCGCGTCAGAGATTCCAACGATGTGATGGTTAAGACTTCAGATTGCTCCTTGACTTCCTCGACTTGTGTATGGAAATTTCTGTGGTTTAGTGCGCATTGTGGCGGAATAATTGACAGGCTACTCACGTGCAAACGGGACTTCTGGTATATTTTCTACAGTTTTTTTCTCAATGGGTTGTTCATCAGTGTCCAACAAATCCATCGGCTCAGCTGCCCCGCAAAACAGATCAGGCACACGCCAACAACATGTGAATGGAAATTGTATGTTTAGTTCATTGTGACGGCTTTACTGGCAAATCTACTCACATGCCAGTGCCATCTGAGGTGCGATGGACCCGCTCTTGGGCTCCTCCATGGTTATGTCTGTCTCCATCAAGATATTTGATGCTGCTGGCCCGGAACAAGCAACACATGAAGAGGAAATTAGTTTGGTTTAGTGTTGTGGAGGCGCAAGTGGATAATTATTCAGTCAGCACTTACGTTTCTCTGAGGACTCGCCTACAACCGTAGGCTCCACAAGGGACATCTTGCCTGTGAAAGCGTTTGGTTCAGCTGCTGCAGGCACAAGTGAATGTAAAATAATAATTTATTTATTTTGGCGGCATCTCTGGGAAATGTACTCACATGACACCGGTATCCCAGCCTTTGGCAAATGGTTTGAAGCTGTGCCCAGCAAGCCGTTTGTTGCAGCTGCCCCACAAGCGCGACATAAATATGTTACTACAAATTGTATGTTTAGTTTATTGTGGCGGCATGTCCACGATGGGTACTCACATGCCACGGGAGGGGATACGCAAGGAATCTCGTTGTCCTTGCTCTCTTTGTTGAAGGTTATGTCGAGTAAATTATTTAAAGCTGCTCAAACGAAAGCATTTGGTCAGAATTTAAGTCGCGAAATGAATAAAAAGAAACTTACGTGCCGCCGCGGTCTCGCCTTCGGCTGTAGGCTCCACCACGGACGTTGTGTCCACCAATCCGTTCGGTGCTGCTGTGTGACAAGCGACGCGGGCATATGCGAATTAAAATTATATGTAGGGTCAATCAAATATGCAAGATCATCGGCCTAAGGCTCCTCCAGCGGCGGAACGGCTTCCAGCGCTACTCTCCAGCGAACGCTGCACGGCAGCGTGTGTGTGTGTGTGTGTGTGTGTGTTTGCGGCAATTTGATTCAGGTTGAAGCCGCGCGGCATTCATGAAAATATACTTACAATCGACCACGGGCTGGATTGGTTTCTCCTCCTCCTTAGCCTCCTCCATTGCTAGCGCGTACGAAGAAACGCGTTGTATTTGCTTCAGCGAGGTCGGGATGGGATCCTGTGAAAATGAGTGCCAGAACACAACAACTAAACCACGAAACGACGCACTTCACTTTGCGTACAACTAGCCACCACTCAAGGCACGGAAAACAGGCGACAGTCGAAATACAACTACTACCGAATGGAATGAGACAGGAAAATTGAAATAATTTTGGGAATTCAGCTTGGAAAGTTGACATTGGCAGTGTGACCACGGACTTTTCAATGAAAAATGCACATCTGCTCCCACAAAAGTATACCGAAATAAACATTGTCATGTTCAAAATATACCGCAAATATACAGCGAATATACCGGTCAAATGTTGCCAAATCATCGCTAAAAAATATAGTTTTTTTCCGATTTATGTATCAGTTTTCTAAAAAAATTGTAGTAGGCCTTATTTTAAGGAGAATGTCAATAAAATAAAGTTTAAACAAAAGGGCTCAGTAAATATGTTAATTTTTTACGTTGTACACGATGATATCAGGTCGTATGATAAATTTACCCCAGAGCTGTAAGTCGATAGTGCCAACAGCGTTGCCCCATCTGCCGAGCTTTGGCGCGCGCGGACTTGAAATATTTCACCACTCTCAGTCTGTCCCCTTGACGAAAATAAAACGATTGGCCATTTGGTTGAAAGATAAGAGTTTGTATTTTTATATAAGTTTTCAGTATTTTAGCTGTGTTGTTGCTGTTCTCCGTCATTCTCCTCTTGTTGTTATAACTTGTATTATTAGCTTTTTCGAATTATTAGTATTAAATGTGGTTTTAAAAGTGAAATGTAAACAATTTGCTATTGTTTAGGCTTGTTTTGGGTTTGGTTTCTCTTCTCTTTAGTTGACCATCTCCACGTTGATATATAATGTTTATTGCATTATATATTCACACAATTAAGAGGTTCATCTGCTATTAGTTATAAGATGCTCTCGTTTTATTTTGAATTTTTTGTCTGTTTTGGCTCTCCAGTAACCCAGCAAAATAGTTAGTGTGGCATTTAGGCAAGTGTTTCATTTCATTATTATATGTTGTAGCTCTGTATACGTACATATGTGTTCTTATTAGTGGCTTGTGTGTTGGGCCTATTTGCAAGCATCGGGTGTCTGTCTTCCGCCCCTTCCCCGGTTAAAGTTTGTTTCTTCGCAGGCCGCCTGCTGTGATGTGACCCCCCGCGGATGTTAGTGTAAGCCTCTAAAGTAAAGTAAAGCTGATCTGGTGTGGCTAAGGTGTGTGTGTGTGTGTGTGTGTGTGCCATAGCATTGTTAATTGTTGTTTGTGTGCCTGTGTTTACGCTTTGCGTGGGGACTTAATTTGAAATCAAGTGTTTTTCGTGTTTGCTTCTGCTCGTCTGTCTGTCTCTGTCTGTCTCTGTCCGTGTACTAAGAGTGCACCAAAACAGGGCGGAACGCAGCCACGCAAATGTTTGAGTGCCTTTGTATGCACACACGACAGAAACGAAGTGAAAACCGTTTCTCTGCTTCTCTGCTTCTCTGCCGCTGCGGCAACCGAGCCATACGAAGTTGCTTCTCTGCCGCTGCTGCGGCTTTCTGTGCAGTCGCCGAAGCTACAGTGACTTTTGATGCTGTGCGTCTGCCGACTGCGCTGCCTGAGATCTTTCCTGCCTTTGCAGACCTCTGTTCTACAGTAAAGCTTTCAGCTTCCCTATCAGGCGTGTGTGTGTGTGTGTGTTTTTTCTTTGTAAATGTAATTATAATTAGTCAAAAATCGATTTTCTCTATGTGATGTGTGTAACTTATGAAGTTTTTACCACATGTGGCTTATGCGTTTACAATATAATTATTATTTATTACTTATTAATATTAATATTTATTATTGCCAGTTTTGATAAGAAAATAATTTTAAGATACTTTTTATTATTTTTCTTTTATATTGCATTTGCTATGTTACTCTATGTTTTGTTTGTTTATTTTTATTTGATCTATTCGAAATTTTCGCATTATTCTTGCTGCATTTTTATTTGCTCACTTTTTTTGGTTTTCTTTTTTCTATTTTTTATAGTTATTATTTTTAGGTGTAAAGTAAAATTTGTAGACTAGATTTATTCACTGGAGTATTATTTATTCTCCCTCTCTTTCATTTGTATTACTTTCTTATTATTATTATTATTAGCATTAGTTTTTCTCTTTGCATTTGGTTATAACATTTGGGTTTCAGTTTTTCCTCGCTTACATCCCCATCCCGTGTTTGTATTGAGGTGTGTGTAGCTCTCTATGCGGGTATTTTGTGGATGATGCACTCCCCTATTGCGTTTACTAGCCACGCGCCTGCGAATAATTGTCCTGACTGATAAAAGAAGCTGCTCACTGCGATAACAACGGTCTAAAGTAATTCCCATAATTGTTCGAAAGGTGCCGAAACATGTGTGATGGTATGTACGTACATCAATTCGTTGGTTGAACATTAATTCAGCATTTGGTTTCGCATTATTGCTTTCTGGTTCACACGTCACCGGGCACAATTGATGATGCTCGGCCGCTGCTTTGCCGACGATATTTTGGGGCGACTGCACGCAGCTTGACAACTTCACCGTTAACCCTTTCGGGGGCAGCTTGGAATCTTAGAAAAAGTTGAGTTCATCACAAAAGTTGAGTAAATGCTAGTTGTCTGTCCGACTGGATTCAGTTTTCGGGTCTGGAGCTCGACAACAGTCCTGAAGCCTCGAAAACGCACTGCATGCTGCAGCAGAATAAAATCAGTTGGCGCTTCGCGTTTACGAGTCTAGCGGTTAAACGGTTAAGCAGTCCAAGCAGTGCCAAACAATTACCGGTTGGGCAGCGTCCCCTATTCTTTTCTGGCCTTTTTGTCGAGGACAGGACGGATTAACTACTTACTAAAAAATGCAATTATTCTCATAAGTATATATTAATACTTGTGTGTGTGTGTGTGTGTGTGTGTGTGTATCTGATGGATTTTGAACTCAATTGTATCAGCGTGTGTGGGGCGATTTCTTAAGCAACAGTGCTGGAATCGGATGGGAGAGATGCATCTAAGTGTGCAGCTGTAATTTGTGGAACCGTCCCCCCTGCCGACCCGCTTCTTTCTGCTACTTTCATTCATTTTTTGTTGCTCTCTTTCTTGGTTGTTTTTTTTTGTCCACACTTTTGTTGGTATTATTCAGTATTAAGGCAATCGCATTTGATTAATTAATTGTAGAGTAGAGTTTCGAGTATATTAATAATGCCATTCGACTTGAAAAAATTGCTATTTAGTTTCGCTTTGCTTTTCGCTTTTCACATTTCACATTTATCCCTCTACCACGAGAGAGTGTGTGTGTGTGTGTGTGGGTGTGGGTGTGTTGTATGAGTGTATTTTGTTTTATACTCGAGCGAGATTTGTCTAATGAACTTAGCATTTACAATTACATTAAGTTATACAATATGTAATTTATTGAATTCTTCATTAATATAATTAATTCATTAATTTGTAGTTTTACTTTTACTTTTTATATGAAATCACAGTCCGTATGTGAGAAAGACTTTTATGTACTCGATAATGATGATAAAATACATGGGATTCGGGCACCTACATATACATATATGTATACATTAACACTATATACTTTTCTCTCTATATATATATATATATATATATATATTGCCGTATATATTGGGCTAGGCAAGATGGATATATGTGTGTGTGGGCTATGGGATGCACCTTAATGCAATGTACCACAATTTAATAAATAACAATTTGCATACGCATGTGTGTGTGTGTGTGTGTGTGTGTGTGTGTGTGTGTGTGTATATCTATTAAGTTTTTGCTGCATTTACTTAAAATATATAATTCTGTTGCATCTGCTGCGGCTGCTTCTATGAAAAGGCATTTGTTTAATCATTGTTTTGGTTTGTTTCTAAAAAAAAATTGTTCTTGCTTGAGTGTTTTGGTGTCCTTTAGCTACCATACCATACATCATAATGCTAGTAATGTTTTTTCTATATAATAATATTTGATTTGCATTGTTCATTGTATTAGTTGTTGTATTTGTTATTTTTGTTTTGTTTTGTTTATTAGTTGAATTTGTATTTAGCTAAAATTGTTATCAATCCTGCAATGAGGCCAGGCCATCCATCCATCCATCCATCCATCCATCCATCCATCCATTCATCCTCTAGAGATTCGTTTAGCTTACTAATTGATTAATCAAAAGGACTCCTTTTTTCTCCACTTTCGCTTGATATGACTGTCACATAGGGTGATTATGGATTCGATACTACTCCTTCCATTCCATTCCATTTGCCAAAAAACAAAACTGAAACAAAATGTCGCTCGATGGATGCGGATACGGTAATTGCTTCGGAGATTGACAGCGGAGATTCCCTTGCCAAGCATTGCTTTGCTTTGCCGTACGATAGTTTACGATAGTTAGGATCTAATATTGTCATAAAAGTTGGGGGATGCAATGCACTGAGCGGGCCGTAGAGTGAAATTAACAAGGATTCGGAGAGATATACTGGGGGATGGCTTCAAGATGAAAGTGATGACAGAAAGGGGGATAGATAGATTGATAGATTGACTGATTGATTGATTGATTGATTGATTGAGTGATTGATAGGTTAGAGATGTTCATATGTAATGTATGCAATGTTTGTTTCAGCTTTCTTTGTTTCGCCATCCATTAATCGGTATTACGCATTTGTAAGTTTTTAACTTTGAGTTCTCTTCATTCGAGGAATAACAATTATAAGTTCTAACAATAATAATGATAGATCGACGGAAAAAAACTGTTTCTTATAAGCTGATATATTTTTTGGGTTTTCTGTTTTGTTTTTGTCTAGATAAAAATTCATAAGCGCCATTTAGTCAGCCGATTTCTCCTGCCTTCGTGCGTCGCGTTGCTCCTCTAGAAGGCCATGCTGGTGCGTCTGCCACCCAGTCCACCGCCAAAGGAGCCACCTCCTCGCGTCAGGCCACCTTGCGAGACACTGCGACCCATGCGCGCCTCACTGCCACGCCTCTCCCTGGCCCGCCGCAGCAGATCCGAGGTGCTGGGCCGGCGACTGTCCTGGGATCCGCCGCCACGGCGGCAGGCCACAATGTCGGAGGTGGAGGAGCGGCGTATGGTTGAACCATCCGGTGAGGGCATCAGCAGGCTGGCTCCAGTTCCACCCCCACCTACACCACCGCTGTACGGGGAGAGGAGGCTGGGCGAGACCTGCAATCGCTGACCCGCCAACGACTCTCGTCTGGAGAATGGTCCAGCTCCGGCTGCCGTTGCTCCACTCGGCTCTCCCTCCGGATCGACGCTTTCGATGCGCAGATACGGCATCCGTCGTTGCACTCCATCCGGCGCTGGCAACTGCACACCAGCCGACGTTGAGCTGCTCGGATTGCTGGGACTGGTGCCGCCGTTGCGCAGGCCACTGTAGAGGGATTTGATGTGAAAGTCCAGGGACTTGAAGTTTAGCAGGGAGCGACGGGGCGGAGTCTCGCTGATGTCTCGCTGATTGGTAGTCGTGAGGCTGCTGCCGTAGTTGTTGTTGAGCGTGTCATATTGTGACTGAGAGGCGGCAAGTGGTGGTCCTGTTCCTGCTGCTAACGAGCATCCTCCTCCTGCTGCTGCTGTCATCGAGCTGCTGTGAATGGTGATGGCCTGATGCTGCTGCTGTTGTAGTTCTTGCTTGCTTATTGTTGTCGTCATAGTATTGCTACTTAGGCTAGTTTTACTACTAATCACTTTCAAAAATTTATTATCATTATCTAAGGACTCCTTTCGTCACTGAATGAGACAGAAACCCTGCTTAGCAGCATCCTTGGCAGCGTCCACCTCCTCAATGAAGGCCTCATCCTCGACATGCTTGGGTGAATCGGCGCCGCAGGGACCGCCCCCGCTCAGGCTGAGCGGCCCCTGCGGGCAGGCTGATTGTCACCGTAGCGCCAGTGTCGATATCATTGGCGGTCTTACCGGTTTATTCTCCAATATCCGCTCCAATTCCAGCATTACGCTCGATGACAGGCGCGGCAGTAGCTAAAATTGATAACAAAACGAGTTAAGAAATTTGTCAATTGCGTGGGCAGACAAAAAGGCATTTCAAAACAACATAAAAATAGAAAATGTTTAGGGCTCTCTAGACTGTTTCTCACCTGCAGGGACTGCAGAGACTGATGCAGCTGCTCGGCTGAGGTGGCGCCCAGCAGAAGGCACTGGACGGGCTCGTGCTTGAGCGACCAGGCGATCGATAGCTGCGTGGGACTGCAGCCAAGCTTCTCCGCCAGAGCGGCCAAATCACGCAATCGATCGCAGTGGCGTCGCCCCTCCTCGATGCGATCCTTGCCCCAGCTGCCTTGCGGCGAGAGAGCAGCCTGAAAGAAGCAGCAGAGCAGCCGCGTCAGTGGAAGTCAAAGTCAAAGTGGCAATTTGCACCTACATTTCGATTGATCTCATCTTCGGTCCATGAGAAACTTTTCGTTTTGAAGGAGCCCTTGGGTAGAAAGATCTTGTCACCGTTCTGGGTGTCGCTCAGTGCCATCGAGAGGGGTCCCCAGGCCATGAGGCCCACACCGATCTTGTTGTACATCTCGGGCAGATAGAGTTCACACTTCTCGCGGCAGAACATGTGGTATTCGGACTGCTCGACGATCGGGGTAATGCAGTTGAACTGCCGGCAGTTGGTGTAGGCCTCCATGATCTCCACCTGACTCCATCGTGCGGTGCCCCAGTACATGGCCCAACCCTGCTGTATCACATAGCTCATGGCACGAACCACTTCTGTGGGAGAATCGAGGGGCAACGGAAGGGCGAGAAAGGGGATTACAACGATTGCTTCTTGCCACGCAAACTGGAGCTCCACTTCCACACTCACCCTCCATGGGGCACATGGGATCCGCCTTGTGGATGATGACAATGTCAATGTACTGCAGCTGCAGACGCTGCAGGCTGGCCCGCACGCACTCGATGATGTGTTTGCGCGAAAGGCCACGCTCCTCGGACCTGCAATGATGCATTAAGCATGAAGGATGAAGGATGAAGGATGAAGGACACTCGTCCGATGGCCACTCACTTGGTGCTCCAGTAGACCTTCGTGGTGATGACGTAGGCGGTACGCTTCCAGCCCGCACGCTGCAGTATCTTACCGATCTCCGTCTCGGAGTGGGCCTCTGAGATGTCAAACAGATTGATGCCGCTCTCGATGGCCAGCTTGAGTATGGCCTCCGCCTGCTCGTCGCTGACGCCCGGCGAGAAGACGGGCCAGGTGCCCAGGCCCACATTGGAGATCCTCAGGCCGCTCTTGCCCAGATTCTTGTAACGCAGCCCCGGCGTCGGTGTCGACCCATGGCGCAGCGGCAGTGCCGGATTCGAGCCGAGACTTATCGAGCGGCCTGCGCTCCACGGAATGTCCAGGTACATGGTCATCGTCAGTTCAAGTGCCGCATGGAAATGGTTTCGTGTTTTTTGTGGTTCAAAGGGAGCGGTTCGTTAGTGAGGCCTTCGCAATGGGGCTCGAGTGGGCTCGAGTGTGTCCGAGAAACAACCAAAAAAAAAAAAAAGCACAAAAACAAAACTAAAATAATAAACGTGCAAAAACCAACAGCAACGCAACAGCCACAGAAACAACAACGACAGCAAACAAAACGAGAAGGGACGTGTGAGACGCTTCTTACGCGTCACAACTTTTATACCCGGCACTCAGTACTACTTCTGCACCTTAGCGGTGTTTTGTCAACTTTTAAATATTTTCTTCATCTGTCATCTACATCTACAACACTTCTTACACCAACACGCTCCTTTAGCTAGCCGCCCTTCGGCAGAAGCAGAGGGCCGAGTGAAGCAGAAGCAGAGTGTGAATGAGAGAATGTGAAAAGAACAGCAAAAGCTGGAAAAGCGGGACAGGGTGGGTTTAGCCACTGCAAATTAATTTCTTCATTGTGGCCATAATATGGCCCAATTTGGTGATCTGATAGATATGGCATCATTCCCTACGGATGGCGTTTTTAGTTTTCTTTTTTCTTTAAAACTTTAGACTTTGGAGGTTTTCGCCCTTTTGCAGGCACCGCACACTGGTTTCAGTGTGAGCATACAGCAGTCCGGAGCCAAAATTTGGTGGCTCTAGCTCTTATAGTCTCTGAGAACTAGCCGACAAACAAGACGGACGGACGGACAGACGGACAGACAGACATGGCTCTGTCGACTCGGCTATTGATGCTGGCCAAGAATATATATACTTAATGGGGTCGGAAACGTTTCCTTCTGTGTGGTTACATACATTCACTTTGTGCACAAATACAATATACCCTATTTACTCTTCGAGTACCGGGTATCAAAATATTATTATGAATTGTGAAATAAGAGGGTCTAAGCAGGCTAAGCACTAAGCAGTGATTAACTAAACATTGCACCGAAGCACCAATACCCTGCAAATGCTGGCAAGATAAGGCTTTCTGGATAAGGTTATATTTTATCATTTAATTGAAATGAGAATGCTGAAAAGTTATACTGAAAATTCGATGTTTTCAGCGCTCAAATAAGTTCACGAAAATTGCCATGACTTAGTTTGTGGCAGGGTATTGGCCAGGGTATCAGCGGTGACATGCAATGAAAATGAATAAACAAAAGTGACATTCTTCTGTTGGTTCCTTCCTTCCTTCCTTTGCGTCCGTGCTGCTACCACCTGCCTGCCTGCTGTCCTTTGGCGAGGCATTTTCGCCGCAAAGTGCGTGCCTTCGGTGCGTGTTGTGCGTGCGTGTGGTGTGGTGTGGTGTGGCATGCGGCTTGCGGCTTGCGGTTCGGTGCCATTGGGAATGTACTGCCGACTGATGGTGTGGGAGTGTCAAAGTGTTTCAATGACGCCCACCGTCTCGCGGTTGGGTTTGGTTTATTTTTGTTTTCGTATAAACGGATAAAATACAGTACAACACTTTCCACCCTCCCCGAACCTTCCACTTATTTGTACAGCAACAAATAATAACCGATGAATAGTATGTACAAAAAAAAACACAAAAGAAACAGAACACAGAAACGGCGAGACAAAACTACACATGCAAAGGCAAAGACATTCAATAAATATCCATTAAGTGGAAAGGAAACAACGTAAATGATAAGCCTATTTGATAGTGAGAAATTTGATACCGAAATCAAGATGACCGCCCGTACCACTGAACTCCTCCATGCAGTCGAGTGACGCGATTGGAGCCCGGCACCTGCAACGACAAAGAAAAATCGAACAGATGAAAACAAAACAGTAAAGAAAATAACACAAAAGTTGTATTTAAAAATTGATACCTAATTATCAGGTTTGCTTTTAAGCAAAGTTTGATGGGTAACTTGTTCATTCTTTCTTTACATAAATGGAATTTGTGGAGCGGAGCATTCAATTCCGTTAAATTCTCTCCCCACTCCCCACACGCTAAGTCTTTATTCCATTCCGTTCCCTGTCCCGTTCCCTTGTTGCGCACATTACCTGTAAATTGTGACCGGATTCGAGTCGTCGCTCGTATTGTCCACATTGTTGTTGGGGTTATTGTTGTTATTGCTGTCATTGGTCGAGGGCGCAACTGCGCCGTTGCTTATCATCCGCTGTTGCTGCTGTTGCTGTGTCACAGCCGCCTGCGCAGTCGTTCCCGTTACAAAATTCAAATTTCCGCCTGGCAGTGCCATCATTATATGGCTACCATTCAGCATCGGCAGCGACGGTGGCAGCGATAATTGCTGCTGCTGCTGCAGCTGCTGTTGCTGCGGATGCTCCATGGCTCCTGCAATTTCCAGTGGCATGGGTATCGATGTTGCAGTGCCATCCACAACGTCGCCGCTCTCTCGCTCTGCTGCTCTCTCTGCGGCAGAGCTGCTGCCCTGCTCGTGGCCCAGCAGCAGCGGCGTTGTGGCATTGCTCGCGTCAAGCATGCTCTCCTGCGTGTGTGATGCAGCTCCAGCTGCTGCTCCAGCTCCTCCAGCAGCGCTGCCAGCTGCGGCAGCAGCCTGTGCTGACTGCGATTGCTGCTGCTGCTGCGCCGGCTGTTGCGGCGGAGCCTGGCTGCCGTCGCTATTCAGATTGCACAATGCCATAGACATCTCAGTAGGTTAATGGCTGCACGCAGGACGACTTTTTCTCTTTGCGGTTTTTCTTATTTTTTTTTTTAATTGTTTGTTAGACACTACTGGACGCCATTGCTGGAGATTAATTGGATTTCTTTTGGGTTTTATTTATACGACTAAAGCTGGACTACAAATCACAATGGAAATGTTTTTCTCTAGCATCATTAAGGCAAAGTCCAGTCGATAAAAGTTGCTGCGCTTTGAGAAATTAACAGAGTTAAGTGCCAAATATTGGAAGAACAATCATATTCCCATCGAAAGATAGTGCCAGGCATCTGTTGTCTCCGCTTTTAATGCCCAAACAAGCAGAAAAAAGCATCCGAGATATCTTGGTTGAAAAGTTTTCTCAAAAGTCCACGAGTTATTCCGCCCATCCACCACCCCCCCCACCATGCCGCCGCATGCGACGAAAACAAAACAAAAGCAAAACAAAACAAATGAAACGAAACGAAACGAGCAAAAGAGCACAACACAGAAGAGAGAGAGACAGGGCGAGATGCGGCAAAGTCTAAGAGAGCGAAAGCTTTTCACCACACTCACTCGCTCAAGAGAGCAGCAGCGGCGGTGGCGATGGCGGCGTCGGCGGCGTCGGCGGCGTCGGCGTCGGCACCGCCTGCAACTTTGTCGCATT